TAGTGATAGTTCTGTGAAATTGAGCCATTTCCAAATAGAAAATATTTTTCAATAACCAGAGTTGTAACGGAGACGAAGGTTGAAAGATAATCTTAGTTAAGGCCTTTTCAAGTTACTTCTAATAGGAGAACCAAGATATTAGTTTTAGCACAAGCTTGTATATACAATCTTTAACTTCTTCTGCTAAGGATAATAATTAGTATAATGTCCAGATAGGTGTTGGACAATAGGAGAAATAGGACTCAGCTATTAGTACTATGTACATCAGCAAAAATTATTCCTATATTAGAGGTATGGGTAGTGCATTCTGATGCAAGCAGGAAGAATTCTGCATCTGGTATATCCTGTATATCCTGTACTTGGGTGTCAAGTCTGGTTACATCTGATACTTGGGCACCAAGTCTGGTTGCGTCTCACACATCTGGGAGCTTAGGTTAGGAAGTACTACATCCAGATTGTATCCTAAGTAAGTGATACCAAGTAGTTAGTATCCTAAAATTCCAAGTGATAAATACAGCTGCTAGCCACTCCCCCCTTACCACCCCCCTACTGCCTCTCCTCTCACCAGTCTGAGCATCCTGCATACCCCTACCACTCCTACTGGTTTCCTCCTACCACCTCTTCTGCATTCTGGACTTTGTAGTTTCTTTTACCTGCTTTGCCAGTTAGTAAGGTTCTAGTTAAGTCTTGACTTTGACAAAAGATTCCTTGAGTCTGCTTTCTACACAGTGGCTGATACTTACTACCTTGATACTACTTGACACAGGCTTCCTAGCAGTGTATTGAACATCTATCTGGCACCAATATTAGTGAAGTTACAGCCTGTTATGAAAGTGGCCCCCACTCTAGTGAAATTCTGATCTTGGTGCCAGATTCCTCTGGTATTCTGTGGGTGCAGCATTTGATGCTTGACAGGCTGATTCTACTCAATGCCAACTTTCCAATAGTATATTAAACATCTTCCTGGCACCAATATTGGTAGAGGTACAGCCTGTCATAGAAGTGGTCCTTTGTAACCGGAACTGGAGTTTAGTCCGTTGGGTTCAAGGATTTGTTTTATGTTTTGCTTTACTTGTGGTTTCGAGTATCCTTTGATACCTAGTTTGTTTTACTTGTGGTTTCGAGTATCCTTTGATACTCAGTTTGTTTTACTTGTGGTTTCGAGTATTCTTTGATACTCAGTTTGTTTTACTTGTGGTTTCGAGTATCCTTTGATACTCAGTTTATTTTACTTGTGGTTTCGAGTATCTTTTGATACTCAGTTTGTTTTACTTGTGGTTTTGAGTATCCTTTAATACTCAGTTTGTTTTACTTGTGGTTTCGAGTATCCTTTGATACTCAGTTTGTTTTATTTGAGGTTTGAGTAAAGGAATATTGGGGAACTTGCCCATGCAGGCCATGGACGAAATCTTGTATTTAAAGACCGCTGAGTCCGTTAGAGGAACAGTAGACTTTGACGGACAGAGTATTTCTAATATACTTGGTTGAACGGTTACCTCTTCAAGTCCCTATTATTTATATCTATCTCTCAGAGCCTCCCTTAGCGCAGTATGCCCATAGGTTGTAGATCAACTTGTGCGCTACTCCTATTGTACCTGGAAGTGTGACTAGCACTCCGATGCGAACACGTTACATCCTTCCCTTGGCAGAGTTCCGATGGAGTTCTGGTAGAGTGCTGACTTTAATGTCAGATTCCTTAAGCATCCCTTAAGTGCAGTAGCTGATACTCAGTAGCCTAGTTCCACTCGATATCACTCTTTCAACAGTGTATTGAACATCTACTTGGCACCAATATTGGTAGAGTTACAGCCTGTTATGGAAGTAGTCTTTACCCTAGTAGAGTTCTGACTTTGATGCTAAATTCTGCAGGAATCCCTTAAGTGCAGCAGCTGAGACTCAATAGCCTGATTCTACTTGATAGTAGATTTCCAACAGTGTATTGAACATCTATCTGGCACCAATATTGGTAGAGTAAGAGCCTTTTATAAAAGTAGTTTTTGTTCAAATGTGTACAGTACGGCACTATCTTAATAACTTTGTACGAAAATATAACATGGTAGAAAGAGTATACTGTGGGTACCTTAAGCGAGGAGGAATTTTGTATGAAGGTAAATTGGTAGAAGTTCTTGTCCTTAATTCTCTTAAGCAAGATGAGTGGTAACCTCTATTTATCCAAGTACGTATCATTTACATAACTAAGAGGAAATATAAGAAAAAATATAAGTGTTGACATATTTGACCATAACATATGCAGGAAAAACATAAGTATGAACATGTTTGACCCTGACGAACTGCCAAGAAAATGTCATGAAACATGTATATATATGAGGTAGTATGAGTTGATAATTAGAATATAATTGTAAATCAAATAACCAATAACCATGCATGATGTCACGGCCACCCGGTGTGCTGGACGTGGAGGAACATTGGACTTTTGGTTGCATATATCGGCTGTGGTTTCTTTGGTTGCGTTGTAGGATTTCCTTCGTGTTATGATTGGGATAGGTTGCC